ACATTGCGCCAAAATAAAGATAAACTAAAATTMTGATTATAATTGATTGATATTATACTATTTGACGACCCTGACAGCATTTGATCATATATAATATTTTGAATCCAATTGTAGGTCTGCCAAGAAATTTCCCACCGGCTATCCGGTGCCCAGCTAGTATGGTGGTGAATTCAATGCAGAGTTCAGAGATTGTGTGTTGGCCATTTCCCAAAGCTAAAGACTATTCCGGTAAACCATCATCAGTAACCAAAGTAACGTGCTCGCACAAAGCTGGTTTACAACTGAAAACTCCAAGTACAACCACTATCAAATGTGTTGCTAGAGACGCAGCCGGGAATTGGAACTCTTGCAGTTTTAGCATTGACGTTAGAGGTATCTTTATGCTGTATTTTGCAAAAACATTTCTATCTCAACATTTGCTTCAGCATTCGCTCAATCAAAACAGCTATTCCATAAATTGAACATGAGATTGACGCATGTTGAATGATGATGTTGTTCTAAATAATCTTTAATGTATTGTATATATAAGTAATGTATACAGAACGAGAACGCGTGTAGTATCGGGTGAAAAAGTATATCATTGTCAAATAACACTATGGATTATTAGGTCATACTTAGGTATTCATGCAAAAAAAAGTACTGAACATGGTTATTTTTTCATTTTATTTTTGTTTTTATTATGTCTTGCTCCCTTTGCTGAGTCTACAAAAAAAAAGTTGACAAAAAAAAAACTGGTGGAATGGGGTCTTCAGTCATTTTATTTTTTTTCAAATAGGAGAAAATTAAATTAAAATCGTCAGTAATAAAATTTGGAAACTCACTTTTCTTGTTCATTAAAATTTAAATGATTTCCATTAAATCTACAGAATTTTGGACACTTGCATCATATTTACATCAAATTTAAAACCTTTAAAGCGCGCGATTTTTTCCAGTGAATACTTGGTGTGGTGGTTTGTTTTAGGTGGGAAATCATTTTCTTAGAGACTATTAGTTTTTTGAAGATACAGAGGGAAGGTAGAATGAGCAGCCTTTCCCCCAGTCACAGAATACAAAACAAAATGGGTTAAAATACTACGCAACGACCGGTGCAAACTATCTTAGCTATATCTGTCGTCATCACGCATTGGCTAATATGTATATGAAAATTATCATCTAGATATCGCTCCACCCAAGATAAGCTGCCCTGCTAATCAGGAAATCAACACTACTGGTTCGTCAAGTACTATCCGAATCAACTGGAAAAACCCTAAGGTCTATATTTCATTTATAAGAATGAATATATCGATGATTGAAGAAGGTTTAATAGACGAAGCATGTATCATTGAGAGTCTTGGTCTTTTAGCAGAAACTCATAAGGGGATTGAAACGTGTAGCAACAGTACATTTCTTTGGTTCGATGCTCCGGAATATTCAAAACGCCAATAAATCAACTGAAGTCATTTTACAACCATATTTGGAACAATAATATACCTCATTCCATGTCCTTTGGATGGTAATCAGTTGATTTTGTACGATTTTCAGCTCTTTTGAGCATTTTACCTACATTTTAGAACCATTTAAAACGAGACAACGTTTTGCCGCCGTCTGTCCGCCATTTTGTTTTCATTTCTTTGGCCCAAATATGGTATCAAAATTATGCTAATCATTTTGAATATTCCGGAGCATCTGACCGTGCTACACGTTTCAATCCCCTTATGAGTTTCTGCTTTTAGTGTGTCAAAAGGGATAATTTAAAAGCAAAAACAGTTTCACAATGTAGCATGAAGTTTACAAAGTCTTTATTGATCAAATTAAGAAAATGTTTAGAAAATATATCGATAGTAAGTCTTTTTTCAGTAAAACACAGGGGTATTATATTTTTATTTGTACCGGTGTCCAGTGAATTAACTGATTCTATGTCATTTCAGGTATCTGACAATTCAAAYATGCCCCCCAGGATTAAATCGTCTCTTCAACCCGGCTCATTGTTCCATAGTCCAGGCGTTTACACAATATCATACCAAGCGATCGACGCCTCGGCAAACCGGGCTACATGCTCCTTCACCATCAAACTTACAGGTATCAGTCTAGATTACATGCATTGCTATATGATTCTACCGTTTATGGGTTTCCTGTGTACAATAGACTTCTGAAACTTTCTTTACTCAGGCGAAAGATTAACGTCCCAAACGTCAGTAAGTTATTCCTCCTACGGTCTTGTTAGGATTTCAAAATGGATATAATTTATTAAATGGTAATTGAACTTCGTGTCGTGCAATTTTGGTCACTGAAATCAAACTTGCAATTACAAATCGCACTCCCTCTTCACGGTCGTGCGATTTTGTAATCGCGCGTTTGATTTCAGACCAAATTGCACTCCACTCAGTTCAATTTAGCACTATTAGTAAAAATCAAATCTTGAAATAGGATAGGATACATTTGCAAATGAATATGAATTGACTTATACAAGAGGATATGTTGATTGCCTAACGTGCACATTTGTTTTCAGTCCCTGATTGCAAATTAAAGATTCCTCCTCCAGTTAACGGTGCTGTAGCTTGTTGGAATAATAAAGGAAACAACATATGCACAGTTTCATGTAACAGCAATTTCGACTTTGCCTTCAAGCCATCAAGGATTTACGTCTGTTCCCGTGGGACGTGGCGCGCATTTAGTATATTAGGTGGAAGCATTAGTGCCAAGTGGCCAGACTGTTCAGGTAAAAATCATTCTATCAGTTGAATCTCGCATCTCGCAATGATTTTCAGTGAACGGGGGAGAGGGGGCAGAATCTTTATGTACCTAAAAAGAAGGGGGCAACGTCTCAAATCAACTAGAACTTTGAATGAAAACTGAAAACATGCATCAACTGTGTCAGATTCTGTGCAGTGTGGCCAAATACTTATTAAAGTGGACAACTCTTTATCTTTAGTATTGCTTTATGCACGACTAGTAAACACTGGAAAAAATCGCGCGCTCTACAGCAGAAACCGTTGCATAGCGACTTCAATGTTCAATCTGAAATCGTTGGGATTTATCTTTTTCTGCGGCTTGGGGGCGGAGCTTGACACAAATTAGCCAATGACTGAACGAGTTTACGAAAAGCTCCGCCCCTTAGATCGAAGGAAAGAACAAAATCCAGACAATTTTGAAAACAAAGAAGTCGCGATGCAGCGATTTACGAATTTGATGTAAGTGTCCTAACTGATGGAAATTTGATGGAAATTTGTTGTAAATCATTTCAATCAAATTTCGATCAAATTTCCATCGTTTTGGACACTTACATAATATTTACATCAAATTTACAACCTTTTAAAGTGATTTTTTTTCAGTGAAATAGAGCGGAGGGGGTCGGTCGGGGTAGGGGGTGTGGATTGTTTGCGAGGAAGGTAGTAATTAACGTTTTTGATTTTTGGGCTCATTTATCAACATCCCCCCCCCCTTTCCTATGGGTATTACGCAGTTCCTAACTGATGAATTCCACAATTTAAGACTGCAAAACAAAATGATCAAGACTTTATAATTTAGACCTTCAGTAGAGAAGACTAATGCATGCTAATGGATAGTTGTCATGGACCAGTGATGTCATTCAATATACTTTTCTTTATTTTCAGTCAAATCCCCAGGAATGAAAACGATGCCAGTGCAATTCTATTACACAGGAGATTCCAAAGATCCCAATGTCATTGCTCAAATCAAACAAAATACTCTCGCAGTACTCCGATCTCCATACTTTCCGCCATTCTTCTGCACGATGTATCCAAACTGCAATGTCCAAAATATCCAAGTTCATGCCGCCAAGAAATCAACGACATGATTCCATGTTCTTGCTTACTCTATTTACAGTTCCAAGCGCCATATTGAAAGGTAACCAAAAAGCCTTTGCATCAAAGCGAGACGCAACTGTTGAGCCTGCAGTGAATACCCTTTATTCTCAACTAAGACAATTATTCAATGGTCAATCTATCGTTGCAAGCTCAACTTCTGTTTCGCTTTGATGGGCAAAGGTTTGGCTACCTTTCAAGATGGCGCTTTGAACTGTATGAAGTATAGATATTAAATGAAAATGGAAAAGGCGAAATTATTGATTAACATATAAAAGTGTCGGTGATAATCAACTGTAGCGGGTTATTATTAGTCTAATAAAGCATAAATCTTTGGTTGCAAAATTCTTTCTTAATTTTTTTTTCGCTCTTGCTAATAAAGTATTAATCTTCTGAAGAAGTTTTCGTTGTATTCCTGTGATGCGATAAAACCAAAATTAACTGCACCTACATAAATATCTAAAGAGGAAAAAGATCATGGGCTAGTTAGCATGGCCTTAGCTGCATAAAGTGTGCGTGATTATAGGAATCTATAATGATAAAACCAGTCATTATACATTACAGGTCAAGCTTGTTAATTGTAAGACAACTTTTTATATTATGAAATGGAAGTGTCACAAATTGAAACAAATTTTAAGAGTCACGTAACCCTCAATTAAAAAAAAGAACACGAAAAGGACCATTAAAAAGTATGGGTGGAAAMGTTCAAGTGGAAATATACGGTGAAAAAAATTGATATATAATCAAAATAACGCTTTTCGCAAAGCTAGGCAAAATCGAAAGAAAATCGTTGCTGTAGACACGGATATGAAGACGTGTCAATGAAAACCCTGACTTTGACTGACCAAACAAAATTATTTTCGTGACATTACAAAGTATATAAGCAATTATAAATGGAACTCGGTTGTCTCCCGATTCTGGCACATTTACCGTATGCAACTTGTTTAACACGAAAGGGTTTTATTGCCCCTCTCCATTCCAATCCCCACAATATTCTAGCTAATTTTCTACTTTAATTAGCAGATTCTTCGGCAGTTACATGTAAATCACTGCAACTACATTTCAGATTTCTGCTATACATTGATACTGTTTGCTATTATAAAGAACTAAAGAAAACAGAACTACTATAAAAGGAATAGAAGATGGTTAAATCAGTACGGACAAAAAATATGCGATTCTAAAACACAGAGATTCAATTCAACATGTTCGTTTCAAGCGTTTATGGTGAATGAGTCTCTTTTTTGCCTTCTCTCTGAGAGGCAATTATTACAAGGTGATATGAAATTCATATCAAGAGTGGATTTTTAATATCAAGTCATGATATGAATGATGTAGGTAAAGTTAAAAGTTTTTTCAGTTGATCGAATGTTCAAACACTATAAACTGAAGCTGAGTAAACGTAGAAAACCTAAATTGTGCATCGATTACAGATTTAAGAATTTTTGACAATTTTTTTCAGGATCATATAAAATAAAACACAGCCAGAATTTACCTTATTTCAGTAGAAACCCATTTGATAAAACTCAAAAACATGATTGGTATTTTGAATGAAACTGTCATTTTTGCATTCCATAATTTATTTCGACGGCTTTGTCCAATATACGCGCGAGCGCGCGTGACGGCAAAGTGTCAGTTTAAGGATCGTAGTCTCTCGCGTGATTAGGGACAAAAGTCGTATTCTTTAAAGGCGACTACCCACAATTCATTTCGATCTTGCAATTGCGTTTTGCGTCAGTGAAAAGATRATTTATTTCAATATAGATGACTATATGAATCAGCCAGCGCAGCTTGAAGTTCATCATTTGGTGTCATCTCTCGATCARCAATGAAGTTCGTATTCTTTACAGCGTTAAGTTTGGTTTCTTTGTTTAATGGTGCTGTCCAAGGTAGGTCAGATAAAGGCTGACAGTGAACATTTTCTGATATCCAGTGAATATATATCACATAATTCATTAAGAAAATATATACATATAGAGGATATAACATGTGCGCGTGGAGATACGGATTTTATCTTCGAGTTTTGAAAAGATCTCTCACGAGTGAGCGTGGCGATTATATGTATCGTATAATCACATATGAAACCAAATTATGTCGTAAAATACTTTTTTTCTTATTTCCACAATATAAAGAAACCTTGAATGTGTTATTTTCACTAGTGAATATGTCAACTTCACGCAATGGAGAAATATAAATATTTCATAGATAATRAAATTATAAACAAATATATTTTCTTAGTGCATTGCTTTCATAACCTGCCATACGTATGGTTCTCACCTTTGTGTGTCTGTTAATTGGCTTGGTTATTATTTCATATTTTATATATTGCTCAGACTATCGACTGCATGCAAAGAGGGTCGGGTTTCAATCAATAGGTTTAAGGTGAGTCGTGACACGGCTAAAAAACAATTAACAACCAGAATTTAAAGAAAAACATTTTGCCAAATATTTTTGAAAAAAAGTAGGAAAAGCGCCAAAAATTAGTACTTCCTATATCCGGTCACGAGAGATATTGCCTCACTTCCAGGGGATCACGGCTTGCCCTCGTGTGGCGTCAACGATATGCCTCGCATTCATGTATTGTTATTACTTCCCTTTCTCGATGAGGCTCGTTCTCAYTAAGGCTCGATCTCAAATATTCTCATGTTCCTGCGGCCCTTAAATGAACATGAGTTTCTAGTCATGTCAAAATTATGACATTTTTTTCATAATGTTTTCCTTACATTGCCAAAATAAAGATAAACAATAATGCTGATTATCATTGATTGATATATATACTATTGAATTAAATTGCTTGCATTTGCCCATGTTGATATATTGAATCCAATTGTATAGGGCTGCCAAGAGACAATATCCCACCGGCTATCCGGTGCCCCGATAGTATGGTAGTGAATTCAAGGCAGAGTTCAACGATTGTTTGCTGGCCATTTCCCAAAGCTACAGACGAATCCGGTAACCCATCRGTAACGTGCTCGCACAAAGCTGGTCTACAACTGCAAACACCAAGTACAACGATCATCAAATGTGAAGCTAAAGACGCAGCCGGGAATAAAGCCTCTTGTAGCTTTAGAATTGACGTTAAAGGTATGTTTAAATGTTTCTGCTATATTTCCTGATCTTTTGGTATAGACCCGTGAAACAAAGTGTAATAATTAGAGTGTAATAGATCGTAGTAGTCGCGTAGAGACAATAAAAAACAAAAGAGCCAAAAAGTGTAATAGCGTGTGTTTCACGGGTTAATGAAAACCACTCTATCTACCGACAAGTAAAAACATTTTYATCTCAACATTTGCTTCAGCATTCGCTCAATCAAGATATATCCATTCCATAAATTGAACGTGAGATTGATGCTTGTTGAAAGATGTTGTTCTAGTCTTAATAGGGATATRCAGATATAGATATTTGTTATGAATAATTAATCGTGTTGTATATTAGTTTGTTACTAGGGCACGGTAACCAGAATTTGAAAAAAGGTTTTCAAAAAAGTAAAATATGATTTATTTTCCATTTTATTTCTGTTTTATTATGTCTTTTTTTAATTATTTGGGCTTRCTCCCATTGYTGACTCTCCAAGTACCAAAACAAATTTTGGACAATAAAAATTTTGGGGGAGGGGAAAGATTGGGTAGTCTTCAGTCATTGTTTTCAAATGGGAGAAACTTTCACCTTTTAATTCATTAATAGTTTGATGTACTTCTTACATTTTGAGTAATTCTCCT